GAGCCAGAAGACTTCCCGGTTCAGTGTGCAGTGATGAAACAACCATAGCTCATTCACTAGAAGGAAATGAAGGACCTCAAACAGACATGTTCCAGAAGAAAATGGCAATTCGCACTGAAGTACGGAAGGCACTTTTGGATGCCGACAACTCGCAAGCTTTGAGACGAGCAATGCTACGCCAATCACGTGGCAGAGAGCATGACTGGAAGTGTGGAGAACTCTGCATGATTTGGGACAAGAGAAAAGCACCAAACATGTTAGAAAAGGGTAGATGGGTAGGGCCTTGTGAAGTGATCATGCACGAAACACGGACAATCATATGTGTAACCCATTTGAACCGACTCCTCAGGGTAGCAAGAGAAAATATGAGATCAGTTTCTTTGAGGGAATTTCAGAGTCATCATGGTTTTAGCCCAACCGAAGATCAAAAGAAATTGCAGGAAATGGCTGAGAGGCTGAAAGAACAGTTGAAGGAAAGAAGTGGCATGTTCCAATTCTCCGATCAGATCGATGATTTGGACCTCGTACCCTCAGATGCAGATCCATCCATTCCCAGTCCAGCCAGATCAATTCAGCACCATCCCGGAGAAACTCCGGATCAGGTCAGCCAATCAGCCATCCGCCAGGCCTCGATGCTAGCTTGATTCCGGTAGATGATCCAAACGCAGACGAGGAACTGAATGATCATCCAACCGAAGAAGCACCGACCGAGGGATCCGTTGGGGATGCAAATATGATCGATGGGGGGGATTCGACCATATATAAGAAGGGAGTAATCAACAAGGGGAAGCCATTGGTGATAGGGGAACTCTATGGAGTGAAGAATTAACCAATGAAGCAAGCGCAAATATGTGCACTTTTGAATTCGAAGTTCCAGTGAAAACATTAGAAAAGTTTTGTAAGCATCCAGCTTTTCATGCAGAAGCCTTGAAGAAAGCAGTAAAGAAAACACACACCGAGATTCAGTACAGGAACCTCACGGTTGAAGAAAAGAAGCAATTCGATCAGGCAAAACAAAAGGAGTTAAAGTGCTGGATTGAAACAAGCGCAGTAGAACCTCTTTGCGAGACAGGATCCATCCAAGCCGAATTATGTCTTCAAAATGGGTGTTGACATGGAAGGAGGATCAAACGTCTGAGTCCGGCCGTAAGCCGAAAGCTCGGCTAGTCATTAGAGGATTCCAAGATCCAGAAGTAGGAGTAGTAAGCGCAGAAAGTCCAACATCGTCCAGAGATGGCCGAATGATGATCCTCCAGACCGTGAGTTCGTTGCATTGGCAGATCCAAACATTCGATATCAAAACTGCATTTTTGAGGGGAAGAAGTGACGAGAGAGAGTTGGCTATGTCACCGGTCCCCGAACTGAAAGAAATGCTCAATTTATCAAACGAACATGTTTTACTTCTCAAAGGAAATGCATATGGCAGAGTAGATGCCCCGCTCCTGTTCTACAAGGAGTTTCGAGGCAGGCTAGAAGCAGAAGGATTCGAAGCACACCGCCTATTCTTGTTGAGAAGCAAAACCGACCCTAGCCAATTGGACGGAATACTCGGAACACACGTCGACGACGGTATAGGAGGGGGAAATCAAAGATTCAAGAAGGCCTTGAAGAATGTTGAAAAACACTTGCCTTTCGGAAACCGAGAGTTCACCAAGTTCAAGTTTACTGGTTTAACCATTGAACAAAGAGCCGACTATTCAATAAGAGTAGATCAAGCCGACTACATGCATCAGATAGATCCGATAGATATCCCAAAGATTCGAAGAAAGGATCAAGAAGCAGCAGTGACTCCAGCAGAACTGCAGTCGCTTCGAGGACTTTGCGGCAGCATGCAGTATGCAGCAGTGCACTCCCGTCCCGACATGATGGCAAAGGTATCATTCCTACAAAAACGAATATGTGATGCTAAGGTAAAAGACTTGATGGAAGGAAACAAAGTCTTGAAGGAAGCAAAAGAAACAGCAAACACAGCAGTCATTGTTCAGCTAATACCCATGAAAGAGTTGACTTTTGCCAGTTTTGGGGACGCAAGCTTTGCTTCAGAGACACAGCTGAAGGCGCAGCAAGGAGTATTCATCGTTGCTTGCACAAAAGATTTAGGAGAAAATCGAATATAAGATATATCACCCCTAGCGTGGCATTCGAAACAACTCAGCCGAGTTGTTCGATCGACGTTAAGCGCTGAAGCCTATGCTATGTCTTCCTCCTTGGACAAGCTCACATGGCTAAGATGCATGTGGGCAATAATCAAAGATGGAAGATTTCGTTGGCAGAAGCCCGAAGAGTCACTCAAGGCAGAACCAAGAGCCTTATTGATCACGGATTGCAAAAGCTTATATGACCTCATAAACAAAATGGCAACCCCAAATGCCAAGAGTGGAGAACCACAATAGAGGTGATGTTGATAAAGCAGCAATCTTCAGAATCAACAGAGTGCAGATGGATTTCAACAGCAATCATGTTGGCCGACTGTTTGACGAAACCTATGGATTCAGCATTCCTCCGGAAAGTACTCACACTTGGAAAGTTTCGAATTTATGATGACAGCAGCTCATTAAACAGCAATCCAAATCGCAAATTGTACTCGCTGGGTGGAGTCATTTCAAGAGACTCATTCGAAAAGAAAATTGGATGAGTGTGAATCCAATGAAGGGTCAACCAAGCCAACCGGAGCCTTCGAATGAGTTCGGCCGATCCTACGGGATTTGGCTCAAGGTGGGGCACAGGATCTCGGATGATAGGTGAGAAAAGGACGGCGGCCCGTCGGGATTGGGTGGAGGACCATCCATAGAGAGGAACCCGTAGGAAGGTTGGAAACTGTTTCAGGGTGAGGAAGCCACCAGTGCAGCTGGGAAATCCCAGCTACACACACACACATATATGAATATTTATACCACTCGCCTTGGAGTCTGTGCCATCTACTCTAAAACCACTATATAGAGTCTACCCCTTATTTGACTAGTTCCAGAGTTCATCAGAGATGTAGAGCCTGACAAATCGAGACGTGCCACAACTGTGTACGACGATGTTAAGCATGTAGGCGTCCGAGGGGAAAACATTACCAGCACCACGTTTATAGAAAAGCAATGGTTGGGGACTTGTGCTTTCACATGCCTGCTTGGCTTTTGACAGGTCATTTGAAAAGGATCCATGTCCGCTCATTTCCATGTAAGAAAGTCAGACTGTAAGTTGGCCTGGTCATAGGTATTTCCGCGTTGTTTTGGACGCCTGAAGCTTGCTGGACGTCTGAAACTTGACCCAGGAACGTTCAATTTTGAGCATTAGGGGGTCCGACGCACATGTCTAAGTCCACACAAAAGTAGTAACATCAACTTGGATTGAAGAAGGAAATTATCCAAAGAATGACAACATAGAAAGCATGGTGAAGAGTGATTCACCTCCAAAAGGTATTTTTCCTTTTTTCACCGCCACACAACCATCTCTTTCTTTCTTTCTTTTTTCCTTTCTTTCTTTCTTTCTCTCCCTTTCTCTTCCGGAGAGACAGGGCACACTCCCTGACCGCCTCTGTCTCACTCCCCGATGCACGAGTGCAGGACTTCGCCCGGGTCGGGTTCAGACGAAGTTCGCCTCGTCCAGGTGCAGCATCACATCGTGGGGCACATGGACCTGGCACACATGAAGTTCGACTGCTCGGCCGGCTTTTCCAACTGGCAGACCGGATGGTCCGCGCCGAAGCAGGAGACCAACACGGGCGTTCGTTGTCCGGTGTACACGGGTGTTTCTTCGCCCGGGCGAAGCAGGAGTCCGTTGGACTTGAAGGGTGTTCGGTACTTGTGAACCTGTTTCCAGGATTGGTGCTGCAGCCACTTCGGCCGCGCCTGCCAGTGAGGAAGTAAGGAAACTGCATGTGAGGCTTGGTTTCCGCAGGAGCGCGCAGGCCATGGGCACGCCCACACAGGAAAGCACGTGATTGACTCAGAAACAGGTGGGAGGAGGAAGAGCAGTGCAGAACTGCACGATCAAAAGCCAAGAATGGTGTAGACACTAGAGTCACCAGGCATCAACCTACACATCAACTCTCAAAAAGGCTTGAAAAAGTGTGGGAGTAATGGGCCAAGCCTGCACGAACGTTGACGATGAGGCAGAGTTTCAACGGCCGGAAGTGGTTTGAAACAAGCCCGTTTTGGTTTCCCTTGCTTGTGGTCCAAGATCCTGACTCGTGCCTCAAGAATTCAACCGAATTTGTTGGCCAAAGTGCATCCTGTGAAATTTCTACAGGTGTTTCAAGCACATTCCGAACATCTGGGACGTGTTTGTTAGCAACTTGAGCGGCTCCCTTGACTGAACCTTTCAAGGAAAAAAAAAAGCGCCGGGAAGCGACTGTCGGGCCCGAAGGTTCACGAGTTCCGGAGCCATCCAACAGGTGCTTCTTGGTGACTACCTATATAATTATCAGGATCCAAAGGCCACCTGTTAAAAGCTCTTGGTAGGTGCCTGGATTTGTGGATGGGAACTCCGATCGACATTTGCTGAAACACATTCACGACTCCTCTCAGATGAATTGTGCCTTTTATGTATATTACATAATTGTTTTATTTCTGTGTCATGGTGTGGACAAAGACTTAGATAGGTGCGTCACGGTTCAACATCATCACCCAGTCCCATAAACCTAAACCAGAGCCACCATAAGGTTGTCATCGCCAATTGATAGTGTTCAGGGTGTTCAGGGGAGCCACCTCATGTGGGTCCTGGACGGTTCTTCCATGTCTCATGAATGTTTGTCTCCCACCCTAGGGCTCCAACCATATCCCCAGGTTCGGTGGTTGGGGTGGGTGCCAGGGGGGTCTAACCACCGAACCTGAGGAGATCGTTGGAGCCCAAGGGCCATCGATCCGGACGGGGTTGGGAGCTTGTCTGATGTGAAACCGTCGACGGGTTCGGCGCTCAATGCAGGTCAGCACAGAACGCCGGGAAAGGCACCTGGAGGGCCTTGGAGGGGTGCAAGTGGCCAAGCATGGGCTGCGTCCGGTGCTACTAAGGCTTGGGCCATGGTCTGGACAAAGCCTGGGATCCAAGAGAACAGGTTGCATCCCCGGCGTCTACAGTTTGCTGCACCATGAGTGGGATAACTCCAAGGTTTGGGTGGCAACGCCTCCATGAGAAGGAAGAAGTTTGGCAGAAGGCTTGTTGGACTTGTTGAGATTGAAAGGGCCCAAGAGCCACACGGAACATTCCCCCAGACCGGACGTGCATGAGTTTTCCGCCGCCAATCTTGGGTTGAGCGGCCCTTTCTCGAAGCTCTTCAGCATGTGGAAGAACAACTAGCTCCAACCCGAAAGTCAGCACTACACTCCCTGAAACAATCATGGAAGTGGACACCCACCTGTTTGTATCATTCCTTCGGGGGCCATCCACCTCCATTCCGAGGAGTTGAGCGTCGTGCGCGCGCCACCTGGACGCCACATGAGGTGAAGCACGGGAAAGGTGGAGACGAGCGCCAGCTGGGGCCTCAGAAGGCTGGAGAGGGATGGACGTGAAGCTTGCCGACGTGGGTGATGCAGGCAGCCCCAGCCGGCTCCGAGCAAGGTAGGTAGGGGGCTGGATGGGCCAGGTTAGAACCTCCTCGCAGGGTGGATGGAATCATTCCCTGCTTCAAGCTTGCGATATATTGTGATTCTGATGGAGGGTAGACTGTACAAGAAAGGCTTTAGGCCCTTGGTGAGGAGAAATAATCATTTCTACTTTCTTGGTAGCGTCATCACGGGGCAGCAAAGGCGGCGTTGTTGGCCTTGGCTTGCGCATCTCAGGCGGAGGTTGTCGTCCGCCTTGGCGGCGGCCCGTGAACGAGGTTGGGGTACGGAGCGTTTTTGGAGTCTAAATACCATCTCATCTATGTGCGGCGTTAGGCCGATTGGGCGGCCTTTGGTTGATGACACTACATGTTTATTTCGGCGGCAGTTTGTCACACCAGAGCCTTGCCTGCTTCTTTCGAGATGTTCGAGAATCTCGGGTTCGGAGGCGGCAGCCCTTTCGGCGAGGGCCGGTGGCTCAAATGCATCCCTGGCGTTTTCCTCCGAGAGGTCAACTCCGCATCCTCCGCTTTCCCATTCCATGGACCCCGTGGTTGTCTGATGGTGACCACCGGTAGCAACCGAGGCTGGGACCCTGAAGTGCTCCAGGCCTCCTTTGGCACCTCCTTGGTCCAGTCCTCGCCTAAGCCGTCGGCCTGAAACGCCGCGGATCTCGGCGTGAACAGCCGCGGGGCACGCAGGGAGCGCGTTCGTGGATTCAGGTCGCAGCAAGTGGTGGCCGGGGATCCCCAGTTGGGATGTGGGGTGAGATTGGCATCTGGCAGATGATTGGGATGAAGTCTTCGCCGAAAGGGACTAGATGGGAGGGAGGTTGGTGTAGGGATGGGGTTCGGCCCAGAATTTTCGAAGAGGTTTGACACATTCCCTAAAGGGCAGGCGAGGACCAAACACCACACACTCATGTGGGCCCTCCAGTCCATGACTCATCGTTAGGACTCCTCAGCCATGCTCATGCTCCGGAGGAATGAAGGACTGATCTCCGGGGTGTTGAAGTCACGGTTGTGGTTCATTTCACACCCCTCTTAACCTCTATATATAAGGGCTAGGAATGAACACCCCGTAGGCCCTCCAAGTCGATCCCAGCGAAGTCGATCCTCCCGACGTGTTCGCCGCACGCGTTCGGCAGGTCTACCGGTATGGCAGCGGAGCCTCGAGGCTCCGGTCGACCGAGTGGGGATTGGGATGGAGGGGATGGAGCTGAAGGGAGTGCTTGGGCCACTTCTGACAAGGCACATCTTGAGAAAAACAGTGTTTGCTTTCAAAGCCTGAGCTGGAACTGCGTTTCAACAGCACGCTACGACAGGTGCTTGGCTCGGGGTCCATGGTTGGTGCACACCTCACATGACGTGTTCAGATAAGATGCACTGCATAATCCACACATTAGGAGGCCTATGGGTGGCCCGTAGTTTGTCGCATGCAGCGCCAAAGGCAAAGGCCACCTGACTCAATTGGGAGCCCCGCAAAGCTGGGCCCCTTTGCAGCAACTGTCTCATGCTAAAGCCATTCCACTGAACTCATGGCGCACCTGGAGCATTTGGCTTCGTCCGTTTTGGCGGAAGACACTGGCATTTACCTTTGGCAGGCCGGAGTGGATGTAAGCTGGAGTGGGCGTAGGCCGCTGCCACGCGCCACCACGCCACCACGTGTTCGGTCCCATGGCGCTTCGGTGACACGCCCGCTCTTCAGCCCACGCTCTCGCGATTTCGGGAGAGCCAGCGGGCGGTTTTGGGGGGGTTTGTTGGATCTGGGGTGCGCAACAAGTGACTATCCAGCTCAGGGACTCATGCCACATTTGGAATAATTGCTCATTGGGGTAGAGAGAAGGGCGCATCTCCCAAATTTACTTATCCAGGAGCGATTTGGGATATCAGGCCCAGATCGCAAAGCACCATTTTTCGTTGGAAGAACTAGCGCCACAGAACTTTCAAGTCCTATTTATGGCTTCCCATGCCCTGCCTCCATCCTCAACCCACCAGCCCACCCATCTGCAGGTCTGGCGTTCTCTCGAGGCTTTAGAGCTCGTGCGCCTCTCCAAAAGCAACATCGCTCACTGGCGGCTGGCCCTGCAGTTGCTGCCTCAACGGGTCGCCTCTGCCGCAGCTGTTGCTGCACCCTTTCCACTTCTCAGTCAACCGGAGCGCGTGGAAGCCCTACGCTTTCTGCCGATGATGGAGGCGGGGCTCCTGCAACGTGCATGTGCGTTTCGACACTGCGCCAGGTGGAGGATGTACTAGGCTCAGTGTACTAGGCTCAGTCTAAGCTCAGTTATGAAGTCCTGGAAACTTTGGAATTAGCTCTGGGCTTGTTTCTTGGCCAGGATTCCCTGCTCTTCGAGAACTTTGCGCATTGGGATCCGGCGCAGTTGGTGGAAGATGTCCAGCAGCAAGTGCCTCCCCTCGTCGGCCTGGGCCACTGGCGCCTGGGCCCCGGCACTGAGGTGCCCCCCCGGCTGCAGCGCGTGGCGTGCCAGTCCCGCGGCTCCGCCAGCGCCTGCGGCGGCCGGGCCGTCCTCGCCCGTGCGCCGGCGCAGATCCCGGCGGCGCCTGCGGGGCACTTGTGCGTGTGTTTGTCCAACGAAGATCCCTTGACCGACTATGGCCCCAGTGGCCTCGTCTACCGTTTGCCTGGTAGCTCCTGTCGTCCCAAGCTGCTGGCGTATCGTTGCAAGGCCTCGGCCTTTCGGCCGCACCGCTCGGGGGCGGTGTTGGCCTTGGCGTATGGCCAGGGCAACGACAAGGGCCCCGAGTGTCCGGCGGTGTTGATGAGCTTTGTGAGGGATGGGCATTGCCGTGAGATCTTAGCTGCTAAGACTTGGTCCAGTGAGCCTCTGGCGACATGGAAGGATGGAGAGGCTTGGGATGACGGTGCAAGACTTTGGAGGTTGGTTGATGGTTGATGGTTGGGTGATGGTGGTTGATGGTTGTGAGGTTGATTTGAGGCCCGTTTTCTTTCTGAGTTCGCTTGCTGTTCTCGAAGTATACCAGTTCTATGGGTCACGCGGCCGAAAACACACGGATTTGAGACGCGAAGAGTGTTTTTTTCGAATCATTGGCTGTGAGAACCTCCCCCCTGTGCTGAGGAGTGGCTTTCACTGATCTTGCGGCTTGATTGGGAACGGCGCTCCTTGCAAATTCGGGTGGAGGGAGAGTCGGAGCTGGTCCAGCAGGAGGTGCCCTTTGCCAATGCGGCATGTGATGAGGTGAAGTACTTGGTGCTCTATAACCACACAGGTTTCTTGTCTTTTTTGTGCTGCTCAGAAAGTTTCTTCTTGCTTCCTCCCCTCTCCTCATAGCTGACCCACGGCTTTGGGCAAGCCTAGACTTAGTGTTGGGAATCTGGAAGATGCCAACTAGAAGGAAACGCCAATCAGAAGCTGATGTCTCCACGGTTCCTCGGTGAACGATACTCATTGGTGTTGAGAGTTCTTGACCGATTCCAACATGAGCGCTCCCAACATGAGGTGACTTTATTGCTTACTGGACTGACCTGTTGATTCGATGAAGACCACACACCCAAAAAGCAAACAAGAAACACGCCAGCTGTTCGCCGTGGGCCAGTTCCATCGGCGCTCCTGGGCAAAAGTCACGGCCGCCCTGCAAGAAAGGGAGCTCAAGCCAGCAAGTGCTGGTGCCTAGCTGGTGAACATTGCAGAAGCTGGAGCTCATGCTGAAGGTGACGAGGATATTTGACGACTCAGGCAGAGCTCCAGCTGGAGTGACAAGGCCCGCTCGGTGCACCCAGCAGACGGCAGCGCGAAAAGGGCTCGCGCAACGCGGAGACTGCTGAAGAGTTGCCCAATGCCAAGCATTGAGTCACTTCTGACCTGCCAAAGCCACTGCACTCTGGTTGCTGAACTTGCTCCCCAAACAGGAGCACAACATCGGTTGCCCACTCAGGTTCTCACATCCCTGGTCATGCGGAGATCCAGAAGTCCACTGGTTGACCGTATAAGCCTGAGTGTCAGGTTTATAACGCTAACATCTAGGACTTGTGAGGATTGAACTGGCAACCTAGCTTCTTGATCCACAGAATTGGATTCTGGGCAGAAACAGGCTCCAGAGATTTAGACTCTAAACGTGATTGGTTCCTTTCCTTCAGTTATTTTTGCCGGCTCAAAACGACAGGTTTCACTCCGTAAAGCCATACCCCGTGGAAAACGAATACTGTATGGACCCTGAAAACCACTGGTTTGTACATAGAGGAACACAGTCTTTCCGGGTCCCATTCTCAGGGCCCATCTCAGTTTTCCGGAGTGTAACGCAATTGGAAAGGTTTTTCTTTTTTTGCTTTCTTGGGGTATGGACTTGATCCCTCATGCAACACTGGATGGCATAGATCTCGAGAACAATTGTCCTGCCGGCAGCACAATCAAATTTACTTCAAGAACCCTAAAGTTTACGCTTCTTACTCTGTTCCAACATGACACTTGCGGTCTACAGCGGATCGGATTAACACGTCCATTTTGCGTGGCAGGTACAGCGCGGTCAGATTTCCGCACCCGTTTAAACTTATAATATTTATAAGGCTTTCAGGTGTGGAAATCTGACCGCAACTGAGGTGTCGACATGCTGCACGTAGGATTCTAAGGGGAAAGGGTTTGTGATGTTTTAGAAGTCAAGAAGCGCAACTTTTGGCACCCCAGTGTATGTAACATGGACCGTTGAAGAATGAAACCACCCTACCTCTCCAAACCAGTTTCATGTCGAAATCTTTAGAAATTCCTCTCCCAACCCGTGAAGCGTGACGCTTCCTCTCCCCGTCCTCTCCCCGTCCTCATCCTTCATCTCCCCATCCGTGTCAGGCCGATGCAGACGGGCTTAGAGAAGCCGGTGGCTTTGAGCTCCTTGTTGGGCCTGCGGGACGCACCTCGGTGAAGATGAAGGGGGCTGGTTGGGCAGCGGAGGTGGCGGGCCAGACGCCCGGGGGGAGAGGGGGCGCGCGGGAACCATTGTAGAGTCATGGTGTTTTCATCAGATGATGTTCTAATTTCTAACTTTGCTGAAACTGACCGTTTATTTAAGTCTTTTTGAATCATTGGTCGACTTGCCCTTTCAGATCTTGATACTGAAACTTGGAAGAGTGCGGTGAAGGAGGGCAGAAATGGCTTGCAGCGTGTTGGAGGTAAACATCCCGCAGTTGGGAGAACAAGCTAGAATCTCGGAATGTCGGGTCCTAGGATGAAACCTGACAGCCCAAGTTCGCTTTTCTTGGGGGTTCTCGCCACCTCCTATGTTCAAGTTCTATGATCGATACCAGGTGTGGTCGGGGTGTTGTTTCGCCACGAGACCGGTCCAGTTTTCTGGATTGAAGGGAGAAGTGGACAGGTCCTGTGGGGGAAGGTGATGTGGGTGATGATCTCTACAATGTCTCCAGTCTCATCACTGGGGGCGGCTGAAGCCCGGCACCAAGTCCACGCTCTTCTTGCTGAAGCCCTCACATGCTGCTGCACAAGCCTGGGGGGAAGGCCTGGTGGGGGGTAGGAGGGTCGGTACTGGAAATGACACAGAAGATGCAGGGTTGGGAGATGAGAGTATAGGGCCAGGGAGATTATCAGGACAACGAGGCAGGAAGATCCTGTATTGCTACTGGCAGACTTGAAGGTTCACTTGAGGCATTGTGCCCCTCGGCGGCTAGTTTTGGCAAGATCTGAGCCAGCGGCCGGGACAAAACTCTTCCTGCCTCTCCCACGCCTTTCTAGAATTTCCTAGAGGCCTGAGGCCAGCAGTTTTCGGCCACCTCTTCCACCTGTCCAAGATCCACCAACAGAAAATCTTTCCACCACTGTGACTGTGAGTCCCCTCCCCAGACACTTGCTGGGCCTAGGTGGCCATCGCATGCAGGACGCACACCCATCCGACACCCTGCAACCCGCCGATCGCTTCAGAACCGACGCCCTTCGTCTCAGCTCTGGAGCTCCCCGAGTACTTGCGGCCGATTCAGCTCACAGGCCCCACAGTGAGCCTGGGCAGTGGGGGATCCCATTCAGCCGTTTAACATTAGGGTTTGGTGGGTCACACTCAGCGCCTTGCACTGTTCAATGAAACTGTTGTGAGGGGGAAGACCGGCGAAAAGCCGATTCTCGATGCGGCACCACCATGGGTGTTCACCGTGTTCATGCCAGAAAGCAGATCCATGGAAGTGGTGTAAAAACCACCTGTTTGGTCTGAGGATATCAGCTTCCATGATGATCTCGGGGAGTGCATCCCTCACAGTACCCTCCGCACTCTGCAGATGGTTCTTTGATGTCGTTCAGCCTCGAAGGCACCAATATAGATAATGTTGCTGGCTAAGGTGCCAACGCCTCCTCGCCACCACATCAACATCCAGCTGGACTCCCAGCTGTTGAGAGAGGCAGTGCATGTTCGTCACACCTTTTTTCGACCCATCTCAGATCTCATTCATATGGTTCCGCAAGAGATCCAAGAACGAATATGGTTCGCCAAGTCAGTCATGCTTGCTCTTGGTGCCTCCTTGGCTTTGGACGGACTTTGCACTCCCTGAAGCTAACATGGACGTTTCCACTTCCATGTGAGCTCCGTATCTCACCAACCGGGCGACCGAGGAGAACTGGTTCGCCCAGCTGACCGGTGGCAAAGCGTGGGCTTGGAGCACCCAGCGTGGGGTGAGGAGCAGTGACTGATGTAGAGGCGTTGATTCATGAAATTCATAGCCACCCCCTACCCGGATCCAGAATGGTTTTACATCCCCATATAGGGGGGGTTTTTATGAAGCAACAGTCTGCATTCTTCAATCCCTATCGGTCAGCGTGTAGGCATTTGTTCAATTCAAGTCCAAGCTTGCGGGATTTCACACGACGGGGTTTTATTGAGGAGGTCCAATTGGAGGGGCTTCTTCATCAAGATCTGCGGATCGGCCCTGATGTCCTTTTTCAGGGTGTCCAACCAAAAAGCACTTCCCCAGCACCACCCAGTTTGGGTGGTTGCAGATTGGCAATGCATAGCCAGGGGGGGTCTATAAAGCAATCCTTTAAGTGGTGCTGGTGCCCTCTCCCCGCCTTTTTCTTTTGGACGCGTGAACACTAGAACCGTCCTTTCGCTTCGCCCCGGCCCCGCCCGGACCTGCTCAGACCGCGCCGGTGGGCCCCGCCGTGCGGTCGGCCATGACCTCGTTTGGTCGGATCAAAGACGAGGTGAATGTGCGGCTGCCACAGTGCATTGAGCAAGTCTTAGGCCCAGTGAAGGAGTACAACCCGAAGCAGGAGACCCGGTGATGAAGAAGACGATGATTTTGAGGGTTGGTGCAACTGATGCTTCCAAGATGTTCTAACAGTCTCACACTCCCACCAACAAACATAGACTAAAGCTTCTTCATTTCCCCCGAAGAATGTGAAATCATTTGCCTGTTCATTGGTGTGGCGTGTGGGCGTGTCACATTCTTCTCTGGAAGATTAACCTGGAACATCAAAACCACTGGTTTGTAGAGAAAAATCGCCTTTCAAAGGTCCATTTTTCAGGTTCCATGTGAGTCTCTTACTGGGTGTAACACATATCGTCGTAATCTTGTGTCCGTCCCCCAGGTAGAGGAGTGGTGCAACTCCTTAGGTGCCCTTGTGCTGGAGAAGCTTCAAGAGCTGAGTGGCAACTTCAAATATATCGTTGCCCGTCCCAAAGAGCTCGTCCTAGTCGAAGAGTCGTTTTTTCGAAGAGTCTGCCTGACCTCCCATGTGCTTCGGCACATGTGCCCATGTGGGGCCACACAAAGAGATTCGCATTGCGACCACACGGGGGGCCGAGGGAGCTAAATCTCCGGACCCAGTTGACCTAGTTGATCCAGTTGACCCAGTTGACCCCAACAAGCTACCACTACTACTACTACTACTACTGCTACTACTACTACTACTACTACTCCTACTGCTACTGCTACCGCTACCGCTACTACTACTGCTACTGCTACTGCTACTGCTACCGCTACCGCTACCGCTACCGCTACCGCTACCGCTACCGCTACGGCTACTCCTACTACTACTACTACTACCACCACTACTGCTACTGCTACTGCCACTCGTACTGCTACCGCTACCGCTACCGCTGCCGCTACCGCTACCGCTACTCCTACTCCTACTACTACTACTACTACTCCTACTCCTACTCCTACTCCTACTCCTACTCCTACTCCTACTCCTGCTACTACTGCTACTACCACCACCACCACTACTACTACCACTACTACTACTGCTGCTGCTGCTGCTACTACTACTACTGCTCCTGCTCCTGCTCCTGCTCCTGCTCCTGCTCCTGCTCCTGCTCCTGCTCCTACTCCTACTCCTACTCCTACTCCTACTCCTCCTGCTGCTGCTGCTGCTGCTCCTACTCCCACTCCCTACTCCCACTCCCTACTTCCTACTTCCTACTTCTTTCAAGACACGACACATTCACTTGAAATAAGGTTAAATGCAAGACCCAAGAATTTTTAGGGTTTGTCGACGATAACTGCTGGGCCTGTTCGATCAAAGATGGATCCCTACTAGTGCTAGGTATAAAATAAGGCAATTTGAATAGTAAAAGCCAGGCTCGGTCCCGTGTTTACCTTGGTTGGGACCCTTTCCTCAGAACTGACTGGACCTCAAGAGGAGACCTGTGCGCACACAACATTCACATGTGACAGAAATGATCCAAAATCATGCAAAGATGTAGCGATGTTAAGATGCGTTGGTTATGATCTATATACACACACGTCTATAAACTTTTTGGGCATATCCAGGCCGAAAGTCTTTTTTGCCATCTCATCAGCCAATCTATTCTTGCGATATGAAATGAAATCGTTCTCAGACGTGCGATGTTGCCGGAGCCAATGGTCCACTTGACCCAGTTGATGCAGTTGCCATCACACAATCTCTGGGTCAACTGGCCCCACAGATTTGCCGGCCCCCTGTGCCGACGCACTCGAGATTCCCGCCAACATGTGTTCAAAGAGGTTCGCTGAATTCGATCCTTCAATCCCTTGCGGCCTTGATATCTCTTTTGATCTCCTTTTTCGACCTTTGCTTCCAGTCGTGGGAGTAGCTGATGAGTGTGTCCGGACACCTCCGAGGTGAACATCAGCTTGATGGAGAAGAAGGGCGCCGGCTTCCACACGAGCAGCTCCACCTTTTGGGACCCGGAGTCGGACTCGGCCACCAGCTATCGATGGGAGAACAAGGCCAGAACTGGCTTGGGCTTGGCTTTTGGATATTTTTTGTTTTTTTTTTTTAGGTGGGTGGGTGGGGGGCTTTGTGTTTTCTGGCTTTTCTTCCGGGTGGAAGGCTGTTGAGACCCTGCCAAGAGTGCGTGGTGTAGAACCATCCCAAGATATTCCAAGCACTAAACATGTGGAGACTCAGTCTAGACATTTTCGGGAAACGCGCTTTCCTTTCTCTTCCCATCTGTCACTGCGCAGGCCTTAACTTGCGTGGTGCAGGTCTTCGGGATCGGCATGTGACCAGTCAGTGGCCCATAGTGTTTCGACCGCAGTCCGGGTTGCCCGGACTGCCGGAGCCAGGTGAAGATTGGCGGTTTCACCCCAAAATTGAATTCAACCACTCATCCGGTTGGAGCGGCGCAGCATACAGACCAAACCTGATGACAGAAAATGACCCGGAGGGGAGAGCAAGGGGTGGGTGGCTTGGAATTTTGCACAAGGACTGGGTCAGGGAACGCCATCATTCCAGAGCCCCTGCTTTCTGGAGGATTCCGGAGGCCCAGCTTAGCATACCCCTCCCTAACCATGGGAGCCAGCTTGGTGGTTTTTGTTGAGTCGGGGTGGACCAAGTACTTGCAGCAAGCGCTACGATGTTGGCGATGCATTCTGAAGGTGATATGAAAAGGCTCCTCCAAACAACACACTCATGGACAGCTCTGATGAATCTGACTGTCAGGTGGTCGCTCCTCCAGATGCCAAGGTCTTGGGAGTGCTTAGCTGCAGCTAGTTGGAGCGAGCAGGGCTGTGAGAACTGTGGAGGCCCCTTTGGCACTAGATGTTCCGCTAAAGATTTTGGATCTGTGCAGTTCTTTTGTCCTTCGTGCGATGCTCGCTAGCCACTTGGCTCAAGCCAAGTGCACTCGATCCGCTGTCAATGAAGCTTAGCAGAGCCTCAGCTGGAAACTTGAGATGCCGGCTTGTTCTGCAAGCTCCGGTTGCCCATTGGCAAGAGCGAGAGTGTGAAATCCACCAGGTCCCTGAATCCCTGAATCAATCCGGAACACCTTTATAGGAAGAGCACCTTTGTAATCCAACTTGGAGTTGTTCTGGTCTTCTTCCCGATTCTTCCCTTCTCACCTTTATGATCCGCTTCCGCTCAGCCCCGAAGCGTCGGAAGAACCGGACGGACGAAGCGTCGCGGTCGGGCGCTTGAGGGCCGTGAGACGGGATGCCAACGGCGGCGTCGGTTTTCAGCAAGAGGCTTAAGGAGGCTTACGGGGTTACGAACGTCCTTTTTTTTTTCTCGGAGATTTGCTGTAGGAAAGGGTGCTGCAGGTCTGTTGAAGTTGCAGCCTTCAAGATGTGGACCACCTGTCCTGCCTCTGTTTTGGCGTGGCGCAGGTGCTTGGCGTGGAAGCACTCTCCGTCTTGCCGCGCTGCTTTTGGCCGCTGGGACGGGTTTGGCTGGGGGTGGCCGAAAAGCATGAGATCCACAAAAAGGGTTGGCTTACCCTCCCCAACAACATGGAGGTGGAACATGGCCCCGAAAGGAAGACCGTTTTCCTCTACTAACAGGGGGTTCCACTTCCGCAATTGCTTCAGGGAGGGTAACTAGTTGGACTAAGGACTAAGGTGCACAGACCGCAGTTGTGTTTGTTTCCATGCGTTTTGAGCGTTTTCGTGTGCTGTTTGCAGAAGTTTTGCAGTTTCCTTCAGGGCTACTGGAAGAGCGTTGGTGCTTTTTCAGCGCTTTTTATGCATGTTCAATGGTTCTTAGTTGAACTTTATGTCGTTTTCGATGGAGGTGTCATACTCGTTCATGGTTACACACTTCTCAGGGAGGTGGGGGGTTGGCAGGGGCAATTTGCATTACCCTCAGCATTGCCAGCGTGAAGATGAAACGGCTGTTCTTTCAGAAGGACGGACACTACAATGCAGGACACTCGAACACAACCATGTTTGCAGTGTCATGGCTAGCAGTTTTCTTGTTACAGTGGTTTCAGAGTAGATGGCACAACCCCCAAGATGGTCTTTTATATAGGGATCCATCTAAACAACCTTTTGGGGATTGTGCCATCTACTCTGAAACCACTGTACTGTTTCTTTCTTTTTGTGGGTCTATTTTTCCGTTTCCGTTCACTTCCTTATCCTTCATCTTGTGTTGGGGTGTCCATATCCGGCCACTGTAGTTCTTCTAAAACAAAAGTAATTTCTTGGGGTTGCTCAACAGAAAGAACCTGTGCTTCTCATTCTAGCACAGCTCTCACAGTCGTCCCAGTCACGTCGAAGCCTCAATGACACGCATTCCGGAGAACATCGGAAATCCAGTCAGGCTCCAAGGGCCGTCTACACAGGGTGGACCTTCGCTTTGTTTCTTTAGAGGTCGCTCTGTTTTTTGACCGGTGCGGTTAGAACATGACTCAGTTTGGTCCGTCCTTTGTCATTTGTTTCTTTTGTAGTTGCTTTTGTGCACCATCCTTTCATCATATGGTCCTCGCCTCGGGGTTGGCCAATGGTGGCATATAACAACCTGATGAAAACGACCCCCGCATGAAGCAGTAAAGCGCAGGAGGCGTTGTTTGCTTTAAGCTATTATCCAACATGACCCAGCCGCATATGGGCCCCCCCCGCTGCCAAAGAGGTGAGCTATGTGGATGGAGCCTTTCTGCGGCCCCAGCGTAGCTTGATCACGACCAGGGAGGCCTCTCTTGGGCAATGACCTCCAACCTACTTGGGCCGGGTGACGTGTTTGGGCCGCGTGGAGGCCTAACGGTGTCATCCGAGTGACCATCCCGAGTCCGAGTCTGTTCTCCAAGTGGCTGAACCTCTCCATCAAAGGGATAAGCGTCTGGTTATGAAGGGTGCACTCACCCTTCAGAGCTCTCGTCCAGATGCGGTGAAGGGTGCCCAAAACAGGTCTCGCTCAATTGCCACGGGTGTTGTTTTTTTTCTCGGTGTCCAGATCCAGTTCACGCCCTCCTGACCAGATTTCGGAGTTGCAAGGGTTCTTCCATATGGGCATCTATGGGGCATGGTGTCCGCAGGCGCAGGATGACGCTCAGATTGGGAACGAGATGGGCGATAGCATACACGTGCGCAAGCCCAAGATGGACCAGCACCACGGCAGGTCACCTCGGACCGACACGTGGACCCTGTAGGGTCCCGGCCAACGGCGGGGATGTTCCATATGTTCCAAACCAGTTTTTTTTCGCGCCCAGCCTTCACCAATCAATTCCAATGAATGTGGGGAAAAAGAGGCGTTTTTCGACGTTTTTTTGAAGGCCATCTTTGCATCATTTGTTCTTCAGCTCGGCTGAGGGCCGTTCAGCTTCGTCCTGCAGCGTCGTGCACCTTACAGTAAGTGGCGCAGCCTACAAGCACCATCCCTTAGGTTGGAGGCCATCGCTCTTAGGGTGGAGGCCACTTCCCCCATAGACTCTGTAGACCACACCCAGACGAGCGGACGGCACTTGGTACGTCCCGACGTCGCCACACTTTCTGGGGACTCCCTGGAACATCTACCGCAGACGGCGGACGGACCACCTGCTGGAGCTTCAAGTCCCCCTGCCCCCCTGGCCCGCCGTGGAGAACCTTTTCGTTCGCCCCGACCCTTCGGTGTTTGCGGAGCGAAAGGGCCGGCGGGTGGCGCGGAGCGAAGGGACCGGCGAACCGACCCGAACGCTACAGGCGTCGATATCGTCATCACACCTTGACGTCCGGGCTGCGAGTGCTCTTGGTCGAAGATCCTCATACGCAGAAATCCAGCTATGCCATGGCCGTGGAGGTGGAGAGACGCCGTGGGATGGAAACAAGAGAGTATGCTATGAGGCATTTCCTCCCACATAGGGACGAATAGTGTTAATCACTCTAGCTCGTGGTATCCTTCTAGCAAGTACAGTTCATCACTGCCGTAGACTCTTGATTCCTAACCCCCCAATTTGAATTGAGAAACCTCTTCATATGGTCTACGGGCGTTCTTAAAACCAAGAGAGTCATCACTGGCCGACCGAATGCTGTGAGGTGGGCAGCCTTGAAGATCCTCCCGATTTCCAGGGCTTGGCACACTTCTGCGAGCATATGGCTGCCCGGCCGGCGGAACATTTGGGAGGAACATCTGGTTCCCACCGTTGCCTTTTTCAGACGTTTTTGCACCGGCCCCTTTTTTGGGGTGACCTGAGTGTGGCAGAAACAACACTCAGTTGTCAGTAAAGGTGGTGAATGAGGTGAAGAAATGATACCCGTCTGAAGATGTTCTGGGCCTTGGTGACAGTTGTGACATTTTCTAGCCACTGTAGAGTCCAAGTTGGCCGAAAGCAGATCCAACCCTTCAGTTGATCCTCCGCGAGCCGGGATTTTTTCTGGAGCTGAGCATTCACGGGAAGAAATGCCTTGCGGTTGAGCTAGGGCCAGCTTCATATGGTTGGAATTTGGTTTGGTTTTAGATTTGGTTGGAGCAGGGGTAGGCTTCCGTAGGATAAACGATGTTCAGATTTTCTGGCCTGCAGATCCCTTTTCTTGCCTTTCCGGCCTTGCAGCTTGAGGTCTTCTTGGGATCGCAAAAGTATCCCGGAGAAGATGAGTTCTCCGATAAGCGTCTTGGTTGAAAGTTAGACCAAGTTCTGAATGTGCTGTTGGCCTGTATGCAAGATTTGCTTGATGGAATGCTGTTTGATGTTTACTGTACTTATTTTGGGTTCATTGTATATACCGTTTACTTATTTTTTAATTTCAGCATGCCCCAAGCAGCCATTCATTTTTGACTTCTTTCCAACATCATCGCGTTCTCCGTTTCTGGGGTGCATATGTTGACCCCTTTGGCCGGGGTGGTGACACAGCAGCCTGAGGCTGGCCGTCTACGGAGGAAGCAACAATGCCTACACTGCCAGCGACCAAACGGTCTACTTCGCCGAGGTGGAGGATTTTCTTCGGCGGGAGCTCTGCAGGAAGAGTTGTGGAAGAACAGTTCCTGCTGTGTTTGGAAGACAGCTGATGGCTCCAAGCAGAAAGGCTAAGAAAGTATAAAGTTTAAAGGGGCTAGAACTGGGTTAGGAGCGAAGGTCTACAGAAAGAGGTGCGTTTCCTTCTTACTGTAGATCTCTTTGTTTGAGAGCTGTATGGCCCTTGTGTCGTGGAGTTGCACCGAGTTTTCTTTAGTAGGACTTGTACGCAGCAGGTTGAAACCAGGTGTGGAGTGACAGCGGCGGGCTTTTTTCAGGCCTCCCGGATCACTCCACCCTCCCACTGGTCGCTCGTCTCTGCCCTGCGTGTCTTGATGTAGTGAGGTCGATGACAAAGGCTTTGAAGAGACCTTCGACATTTTTGCGCAGCTGCTTGACGAGTTCGGGTGAATGGACCTTCTGTCATATTTCGCCATGGCTGCTCGCCGGCCATGCCATGGCCGGCCTTCTCTGTTTCGAGTCCCTCCGGAACGCACACCCATGTCGCTCTTCCCTTCCTTCGTGCTTCGAAGAAGTATAGGTTTCCTGGTTTCCTTCGCGCACCCCTCCCCTCCGTCGCCCGTCGCCTCGTCTCCCTGAAGTCCCTCGTGCTTCGACTTGAGTCGAAGTAGGTTTTTCATTGAGCCCCTCTTCGCGCCGAAGATGGTGGACAAGGAGGTGAACGCCGTCGACTCAGAGCACCGAAAGCGGCTCGGTCAGCGTGAAGCGCGGAACTGGCGGGGATTGGCGGGGACGGTTTGGAGCGGTGGCCGGTCAGCGCGGCGACCGGTGGTTTTTCGGAGGACATCGGGCCGGCGACCGGCAGTGAACGGGCTGTGAAGCTGCAGATGCCAGGTTTGATGGTTTGAATGAGTATCTCTCCCTGGTTTTATCACTGGTTCTATTTTGGCATGACGCCGGGGTCTTTCGCCACCGAGGCCGAGGATCAACCGGTCGCTTCGTTCATTGCCGTGCCGAGGAACATGGCGGATGCCTCCTGGCGCTTGATCCATTTGATGAAGTCTCAGAGCAATCCTCAGAGTCCTGCCCCTCAGGTCCAAACCCATCGGCCCGTGGCGGCTTTGGACGGTTTGGGTATGTTTGGGTGATCGGTGTGGGATGACAGGGACGGAGGAAGGATGGAAGAAGGCAGGAACAGGTCGAGATGAGAGCGGCGTGCGTCGGGATTCGGGATTGTAGTTTTGCTGCTCGTTTGGCGAAGGGTCCCAGTTCTTTGTTGTTCTTAAATCACATCAAGAGCCCTACCATGTTGCCACTTGCTTCCGCACCCAGTCGTTCACGGGGAGCAGCGCGACGTGGCACTACGCAGGCGGCATGTTTGATACCATGGGACCTTTCTCTTTAGGGCGCGTTCTCTCCAAGGTCCCCCGGGAGCAGGGTGGGGCGCCTGCCGTCGCTGGCATTCGCCCTAAAACACGTGGCAAAATCGAAGACCACTGAGGTGAGCAAGTTCTCAACTGGAAACTTGGAGACCTTGAAGCTGGAACCAGAGAAGGCCGGACAACTGGTGCTGCGATGCACACGTGTCAAGGTTTGGATCCTGAAATGACGTCGAAGTATCTCATGGATCCCCATGACTCTATTCCTGCAGGGGTCTGCAGGGTGGATTAATAATAACTGTGTGATCAATTCGAGCAGTGCTGGTAACTGATCCGTCCTCGCCAGGCTGGCAAGAGCTTGCCGAAGGCCTTACAGCAATTTCATCAGGCACGCGGCTGTGGCACGTGAATAGATAGCTCCCAGCAACGGTGCAGAAGAAGTGTCTGTAAGTTTCAGGAGATGTGGACATACATGGACATATACACACATAATGTACACATACAGTGTCACATACAGTACATATATGACCCTGCCAGCCACAGTTGCGCAGATTTGCAGATAGATCCTCCAGCCGCGAAGCTTGCCACTTGCAATCCCTGAGTAGGGCGTAGGGTGCACTCAAGTTTTATCGCTGCAACGCAGAGGTTCTAGTCGAAAATCATCGAACATCCTTTGCAGGAACACTACTGCCCATCCCGCATGCACCTTGTGAATCTTGGCGGGTGATGGTCAGGGGCTTATTGGTGGACGTGGCACAGGCTTGAGTGTCCATTTTGAAGTTAGAGGATCTCACAACACTAGAGAGGGTTCCTGAAACATGATGGCTATGGTAGGTACAGTTGGGCCAAGCAGAGAAAGGAAGAATTGGGTCCCACTGGACCCCTTCTGAGCAATGCTCCCACTACATCCTGATGCATCCAACTACGCCCATCACCGCAAGGATCATGCGGAATGCCTCGCTGGAGGAGCAACTGCAGACGGTGGAGAAGAGCTTCGGCGTCTTGCGAGCAGGCACCTGTCCTCCGCGCCCTGCCGCTGGTTCTCACCGCTCGCCCCGCGCGGATCACGCGCCCGTGCGCGACGGGTTTTCACCCCGTGGGAGCGGAGGCACCGAAGAGGGGTGCCGGCGCAGCACCAAGGGATGGGGAGGGGTCCAAACCTGGAGCCCTGGTCCTGCCGGTCCACGAAAAAGGGTCTCCGGTTCGCACCCCACAGACGGACTTTGGGGTTGCAGATGGCCTTTGGAGGGAGAACTCCGCGAATATGAAGCATCGCGGTGCTTCGGAGCATCTGACTCGAACCGATGCCCAAAAAAACGCGCGCCGTTGCCTAGGTCTATGACCACATCCCGATGTGGCCTGGATGCACTCGTGCGAGGCAAATGTTCCCTTTTCGAAGCCGCGTTGGCATCCCTGTTGAACTTTCCTCTCTAAAAGGGTGGGCCTTGAGGCCACTATAGAGCGCAGCTATTTTTGCCGTTCTACGAAATGACTGTCTCAACCCCACGCCCTATATTTTCAGGGGGATGCATTTGCATCGCGCATGAGGTTCAGCCGGAACCTGGGGAATCTCGGGCGCCGCTTCAACGTGCCCACAGATGGAGCACCGCAGCTTTGGTTGATGTTCCCAATGCCATCCCTTCTTGGCACGTGCCTTGACAGGAACGCGACAGATCTGATGCCGGGAGGGAATGCTGGCAGGAGAAAGGGGGTAACGCTAAATGGATAGGAATTGAAACCCAGGCAGATTCAACCGCCGGCGGGACATGTACAGCCACCGCGGATGGTACAATCCGATGATGTCAGGTGGCGGGACAAGTCATGCCCATGCTTGGCATGGTAAGTGTCCGTTGTTTTCTCTTTTTTCGGTGCCCTGCCAAGAGTCAGGTACAAGGCTGTGCCAGAGGCGTACATCAATTACGCACTGAGTCACTATGGCCCAGGCGCCATGGCCAACCGCGACCATGGTGCTGCGATGCGAACCCAGTCGCTGGATCCTCGAGGGGCATGTTCGGGAAGCGTTCGACACATTTCGACGAATACATGGAAGTGGACAAACACCTGTTTGTAGAGCAACACGTGCAGGTCTTCCAAGGGGCCATGTTCTTTTTCATTCCCATGTTAAGTCGGAGTGGGCGACATTGATGGTTGAATGACCGGACCCCTTTGCACGAAATACACTTGAGAGTGTGCACATCCCGTGCGCCCGTGGCTGTTTTCATGCTGTCGCCAATTGTTTTTCCCCAAAACACGTGCACAGTGTGCACTGAAACCGCGTGCCACACCTGCGGGCGGCAGGTGGCTTGAAGGCACTCTTGAAGCATGAGGATCTCTCCTTGCATTATTCCACCATGCTGGAAGCCACACCTGTGGCATGGCACGTGGAGAGGAAGGAGGGCGGGACGACAAAAGGGAGATTTTTTCCAAAACTAGCCATGGACAAGCGTGAAGATGGTATTCTTTTGTCAAAGGTATTGCTCCATGTCTGTGATGTCTATCTCTTTGTCAAGCGCACCATGTAATTCATGATTCATTGCGTAGCAGTCGCAGACATGAGTCGTGGGCTAGCACAAGAGCAAACAGGGGTCTGTCTGTCTGTCTGGCTGGCTGGCTGGCTGTCTGTCTGTCCTGTCTGTCCTGTCTGTCCTGTCTGTCCTGTCTGTCCT